TGTTTTTAACGTCTTGTCCCAAGAACACTTAATATCTTGCATTTAAAAACTGATATTATGTCATACTATAGGCCTACTAATGATGTTAAAACTAAAATTAAGTTAAAATTAAGAAATGTGTAAAGAAATAGGTAGGCCTACTCCAAATAAAGTTTTATTATAATTTCATATCACTAATGTCAGTAAATATGTTAATGGATTAATTATAAAAAGAAATTTTAAATACATTTTGTTATAGTTTTTTTTCACTAGGGCTGTGTATGATATAAAAAAATGTTGCTCTAATGTCATAAATCAAAAGTAATATGCTGTTTCTGGTGAATGATGTTGTTGAATGCCTGATGTATTTCTCAAGCAGCTGTATGTGGTCTAGCATCTCAAGCCCTCATTGATTTATGACTCAAAGCGAGGCTGCCTCTGTAAATGTAATCTACAGAGCGGTCCTGGGTCACCCATTCACACTGGATAATAGTGTTTACAACAGGCGTCACTGGCTGACGAACCTTTTTAAGAGGACAGTCATTTTTCAAAACACCATAATCGCAAGAAGAACATTGCCAATGTATATGGCTAAGGATATCAGCAGGCTTCATTCTTCCCAGCAACCATTTCCAATTTAGTGTATTTTTACTTCATGGAAATATGTATGCAGTGGATATACTGTAGTCTGGCTCTACTTTGAGGAGAAAGGCTTTCATTGGTAGTGATCCAGTGTCCATACACTGAGGTGAATTATAGGGATGAGACACATATGGATCGTATTCCCTTGTGTTTTTTTTCCACAGGATGAGAGCAAAGTCAAACCAATAAAACAGTGTTATGTTACTGTCTAGTCATATGCTTAGTAACACAGTTGCATAATAGAAATTAAATGTTTTTACTTGACCCTGTAAATTGCTGATGAGAAATCAATCAAATTCACCAGCATTCTTTAATATGTTCAAAAGATAGGTTAGTTCAAGCCTAAATGCATTGTATCTTAATTTAATGTGCTGCTTTTGCTGAGAGTCCTTTTAACAGCAGTGTCTCTTGAAATGTAATGATGATGCTTCCTTTCATTGCCTTCAAGGGAGAGCAGATCATGCAGCAAGATTCTGGTGGGCAGGCAGAATTCAGATGGGCTGCGTTTACTCCGAGAAGACACTTATAGGAGTCTGTAGCCGTGAGCCTCTATCATGTGGCCAATTCTCTTGAAAGAGGCTCACATCCTCAGGCCAAAGGCCCCAGCTGGTCAATGTGCTGTTAATAACTCTGCCAGGAACACTCAAACGCAAAGAATCTGTGACGGAGTTTTGACTTTGATAACATATGATTCTAACAGCACATCTGATATGATAACTATATGAAGAGTTCAGATGCAAAAGCCTCTAAGTGCCATTTGAAATTTTCTTCTAGAATGATCATTTTGATCAAGCTTGTATATTTAAGTTCAGTGATTTCACTTAAATGGCAATGATAATTACCTATTAATTGTTATTTAAGTGAAATTACTGAACTTAAATATACAAGTTTGATAAAAAATCATCATTAAAGAAGAAAATTTCAAATGGGATTTAGAGGCTTTTGCATCTGAACTCTTCATATCAGCTTTCTAAAGATATACTGTACTCATTAGCACTTAAATCAGCATAAACTGATTGTCTTTAATCAGCTATTAGTATTCACGTAAGATGTACAGACCTAATTTTAATTAGGTTTAATTTATCATTAGAAGTAGCATTATTAATATCACTATTATGTTAATGTATGTAGAATTAGGTCAAGTAATAATGGAAACACACAAAAATATTAAAATTCAATAACACTTTCAAAAATAGGCTTTCTAAAGTCTGAAGAAAAAAATAAGGTGAGGACCTGTACAGATTTATTATCAAGGTTGACATCAAAGACAATTATTTAAGATGTTTAATGAAAGCAATTGGAATAACGCAACAAAAAGCCAGGAAACTGGTGTCTAATTGAGTCAAACATTGCATGGCACAAGCTGGGTTATTAGTTGCTAAGCAACTCAAATTAAATAAACCCTTGCCTCCAATTTGTTGGCATTTAGTTAAGCTAAATTTGAGAGAAATGTCCTGTTTCCATCAGACAATTTAACTAATGCTTTGGAAATCATGAAAATGGCATTATTGTTTTTAAAAAAAAAAATGTTTTAAAAGTGCCAAGTAAATGGATGACAATCACTGTATTTCAAAACAACACTTTCACTTCACCTTTTATACATTCACTATTATGTTATTTTCACATATCCGTTGTGGTGTAGCTAGCTATATTAGAAATCCAAGCTAGCGGGTAACTGGATTTGGATAACACATTAAATCTTCGAAATACATCAAGACATTTTAATTAATGACATTAAAACTGGCATATGGGGGGAAACACGTTGCCCTTTTTCATTTTAAATTTCATCCCAGTCACATGCAAGTGCCTAATCTTTAGCTTTTCCTTTGCGATAAAAAGCGATTAACTCAGAGAAACAATGTTTCTTTTTTTATGAAATGCGTTTAATGAGCCATGCTTTAAAAAAAATACGGGTCAATGAATGAGGAACTGGTCACACAGATTTAATGAACCACTGCCAAGAAATAGCCTTTAGAGATTTTCTGAACATTTCAGTGTCAAAACAATGTTCCTTTATGCATTGTTTTGCTTGAATTTGAGTCTTTAAATGATGGATGTTTATTTATATACTTATATACTATTGGAAGAGAAAGGATTTCTTTCAAATAACTGATTATGTAAGAAATACAAATACACATGTAATTAGCCTGAGAATGGCCTGGCTTTTGAAGAAAAGGTATAATTAAATGAAAGCCTGTGAGTCACAATGCTTCTGCATATGCAGTATGATTAATCTATATTGTTCCAAACAACACTTTACTGTCAACAGACCTCAGAGAAAGCAGAGGATGTCTTCTCATTGTGTTTCACCCCATACTCTCCTGTTCTCAAACAGGAAAGCCATATTCCTGCAGACAAACTGATTAAATAATTCATAGTTTCGGATTAGAATATCATCTACATGTGCAAATCTTGATAATAGCTGACCACAGACAAGGGCTGTGATTTGTTCTTAAATGTAATATAATCTGAACTCTTCAGTGCATGGAATTAAAAGTTTCTTTGCCATTTTTTCTCAATAGAAATCATCTTTCTCATGTTTATTGGGAGTTTGTGCATTAAACCCACATTGGTTTTCCATTACCAGCATGTGGTCATGGCAGCATTTTAATAGCATTGTAATGGTAGTGCACATAAAAGTTAATTTATATGCTTTAATTGTGAGTAGACTCTATTTGAAATAGATTATGTTGCTAAATAAAATGTGGGCAGTGGGGTGATGCTTCAACAAGTTGAGCAGGACACATTAGTCATTCAACACAGCATGGACATATCTACATAAAAATGATTGTTATTAATTTTATTCACCATTCCAACAAAACAAATGTCAAACAATCCATGCCTACCATATGGTGTTTCTTGCATTTCCTGTGAAAGATCATTTTCCGGTTCTGTCAGTTCATGGAGACGAACGAATGTCTATTAAATCGCCCAAACAGACAGCAAGAGAGCATGAAAACTCCTACTTCATAATGTAAACGTATCTCCTCTCTTTAATTGTTCTGTACTCACATAGAAAATGATCCCAAAATAACTTTAGATATAAAATAGACAGTGTTTTTTCTTGGCTTTTAATGATTTGGTCCATGGCACTGTGTTTTAGGGGTCCACATTAGGGAAGGTACTAACTTTATTGTTTCTACTGATGCGTCTCTCGGGCCGAACTCTAGGCTGCTTGGTCTGGATCAGCTCCTCTGGTGTGTTACCCAACGGAGGAAGGAGTCTTTTCTTACTGTTCCTGGTTTCAGGCAGCCATTGAGGAGGCAGCTCAAACGGCCCGAAACCAAACTGCGTCGCATCCTCGGGATCCGTGGGAGTCGCGGGGGCAACCTGCGAAGAGGAGTAGGCACATGACTGAATAGGGGAATGTTTTGGTAACACTAAGACCTCTTCTTTAACCCCGTCCCCTGACTGTAGCTGACGCAGCTCTCCTGCGAGCATTCCATTTCCACCCTGTGCCTCATCTTTGGGTTGGAAGTTGGCGGAAGCCACAGATGAAATTTCATTCTCATCTTCTTCTTCCTCATTCGGTCTGAAGATCTGCTGTTGGCCGATATTGAACATCTCCAAGAGTTGACTACCAGAGCGAACCACAGTCTCGCCCCCTAGTGGCCCTACCTCAGCCAGACCTCCAATGCTGACCATGTTTCTTCGGCTATAGCGTCGGTGCAACCGTGCTAGCATATCGAGAAGGCAACGTCGCACTGAGCGGTTTACTGTGAGGAGAAACAGTGGGTTGGTGAGGAGAGAGACCTTTGGCAGCCACACGGCTGTCAGTTGCAACCAAGACGAGGCTTTTGCAGCCCCCAGCACTGCGCGGTATATCACCAGAGCGGCATAGGGTGTGCTGCAGAGTGCAAAGACTAGAACGATGGACAACAGAGTGGCATGAAGTTCAGACTCGCGCTGAGACACATACGGAATGGAAATGCTGTTCTGAGGGGTGCGCAGCGCTGCAATGATCACTTTCTTCTTCTGGCTGCTGCTCAGTGCACGGCGGATTAGTGCCATGGCTAGAAACACCACTGCTAGTGGTAAAATAAGCGTGGTGATGCTGTATGTGACCATGTAAACCAGATGTCCAAACGATTGGCCGTCAGAACAAGATAAGGTGGCGTAGACATCCGTCACATTGCTTACGGCGAAAACAGGGACACTGGCCACCACGGCATGCACCCAGATGTAGATGACCAGGTCTCTGGATTTGGCATCTGATATCTTTCTCTCCAACGGATACAACACTGAGTAGTACCTGGAAGCGAAAGAGAGGATTACAATTTGCAGACAAAAAAGGTCCATTGTCAATCTTTCTGTTAGTCAACACAACGCGATCTGCGTGGATAACCCCGTTCGCACAGTTGGTGTTTTTTTTTTGTTTTTTTTTATGAAACTGGTTCTAAATTAAATCGCTTGTTGGTTCCCTGCCCTTGTTGTCTCATATGCATATCCATCCTCTTGAAATGTCTGAAAACATCTGTTTAAATTAACTACACATATTAACCAATCTGAAGCAATATTAAGTTTCACAAGCATTATAATAAAATAGCAAACTAATATGTTTGATTTTCTAAAAATAATCGGTTCATTCTGTAAAAAACTTATTCGTTCGGAAATCGGTTGGTCGCACTGAAGAGTTTTTATTTACTTTATTACTCATAGGAGTCAACCTTTTGGGAACTGGACTAGAGTAGTTGTGCTAAATTATTTTTTGTTCTGGTTTTGAAATTAAAAGTCAACTCCCAGCCCTAGTTGCTCCAATTACAACCTTTGTACTGTTTAAATGATTAAATTGTTTATTATAGTATCACAGTTAAAATGACTTATGTGTGTGCAAAAACATTGTAGATGTATTTTATGTTGTCAGCAAGGTGTGTCTAGCGAAAAAATACTGGTATCAAGAAAGGCTTCTGTGCAACATAAATTATTCAATGAATTGATAAAGGGTCTGGCAGAGTATGTTGCTATGGAAGCACTAGTCTGGGAAACAGCTGGTGCCCATGGGTTGAGTACAACTGTAAGGGTTACCAGATTTTTTCACAAGATCTTTTGCCCTATTATCATCTTAACCAATTGTTTTAATAATTCTTTGGTTGATGCTTAATTATAGTGACCACAAAGCTGAGACAATTACACTTCAGTTAACCCTCTGATTATCTTCATTTGTGTCTACAATCATAATCTTTAAGGTCTCTCCAGGGACCCCAGATTTAATTTTGTAACAGAATAATATATATATTTTTTTTTTTACAAATGTAATTTTAGTCTGTTTATTAATGTTTTTACTCAACATTTGAGCAGTTTTTGGAGGGTTTTTGATATCTTTTAAATTTCTATAAATAAATAAATATTTAAATAGGCTTTTTTTTTTCTTTTCTTTTTTAAACAAAAAACAGCATTTTATGTCAAGTTTACTTTATAAAAGACCAAGATTTCTAACTTTCATTTATGGGGATTACATGGATAATTTTAAATGATTATAAAATCACAATTATTACACAAAAAAACTTTTTGTCAAAATTTAGCATTTTTGTACTGAGAAAAGTTTTTCAATAATGTTACATTATGCTTAGAATCAAACCTGAGCAAGACTCCAAATGTTGGAGTCTTTAGATTTTATCATTTATTTTAATCATCTGTTTTTAATATAATTCAACAATTTTAATTCTACAATTTTACTGTAACAGAACAAAAAAAATACAGAAATTAACTGTTTGAGTAATATTACATATTGAGTAAAAATACATGACATGAACATCAACATGCAATGAACTGAACAGCAATAAAAATGAGCAAATAAAGCAGTAAAAAAATAAAAAATAGTTTAAAAAACAGTGAATGGGGGAAAAATCAAACAACTAGGAACAATAATTGGTGGTCATCACATACAGTCTCGTTTACAGTGCATACTGTGAGTGTGCATTGTGGATTTTTATTTTTTTTTTTATTTTTTGCATTGTTGGACGTGTGTGCCACTTTATTTTTGTCTATGTGATTTGCGTTGTTTCTTCGTTGTTTCTGATTTTGATGATGAACTTTGTATATTCACTTTGCGGTGTCTCCAGGGACCCCGAAGATAACAAGTGTCAGCATTTTTTTCACGCTAACATAAAAACAGATATCATTTCAATACATTTTTTTTGGTATATCTAGATAGTGTTAAGAGGCGTAGAAGTTTTCATACTATTTGGACAAAGAAAACATTTTTAAAAAATTCACCAAAAGTCATTTGCGGGTCAAAAAAACCCCGAAGATAACCAGAGGGTTAAAAGCAAAAGATGTATAAATGTGTATCCATTCACCTGTCCAGGGCAATGACAGCGAAGCTTAGCACAGTGGCGGAGCAGAAAAGCCTGTGTAGGAACTTGATGGTTTTGCAAAGCAGGAGTGTGTGAACCCAGAGGCAGCAGAAGGGGCTGGCATTCAGGGCTATGTCAAAGGGTACACACACCAACCCAGCACAAATGCCAGAAAACGCCAGGTTCTTGATGAAGAGATTTGTGACAGACTTGAAGACGTTGGTGTAACAAGTGCACCATAGCACTGCAGTATTGCCTGGGGAGAGAGAGATGAAAAGGAGAAAAGGTTGAAGATTCACAAGCATAGGTCACTATCTAAGGACACAGTTGAATGTGCAGCCTTCATTTCATTGTCTACTGCAGCTCCCATGGCAATGAGGTACCTGAAGGTTACAAGCTTATTTAAAGGTGGAAACAGTGAAAAACCTGATTCTGGCAATAAACAATATGTTATTCTTATGCTGTGATGAAGGACAAACAAGCCTTGAAGAAGCGGGAAGAAGTTAAATCGTAGCAATATTCAGATGTTCACTTGAGTTGAGACACCGGTTGAGTATTTCATCTTTTTAAATCAATATTCCAGATTCAATGAACGTTAAGCTCAATTGCATGCTTTTGTTGATTGCCATAGGGAAAATTATTTTTTTTCTTGACCCTTCTTTTCTCTACAAAAATAAATAAAAAAGGCTCATATGTGTTACAGTGAGGCACTAACAAGGGAAGTGAACGGGGTCAATATGTAAACGTTACAATAATTGTTTCTACAGTACAGCCAAAAAACCCCACTTTCACACAAAAATCATGTTGAACAGAAGCTTTTATATAGCCTAATTATAAGTTTCACATTTATGCTTTTAAATCCTCCAAAAAATGGGTCTATTCACTTCCACAGTGCCTTTTTGAAGAAATTGGTCAGGTTGAAAGTCAAATGCTCCAACTTGTAGGCTATAAAACCAGAATACTACACAGCTGTCAGAGATAATAAAAAAAAAATTAAAAAAATAAATAAAGTTATTTTTGCTTATTAGTATGGTTGAATTGGATCATCGAAGGTAAGACATTGGTTAATAAAGTGAGATTAACAAAGTATATTTGAGTACTTTAATATATTTAAATATCGCAGGTTTGTGTAATATTCTGAGATGAGTAAATGCACACATTTATTTTAAAACTACAATAACCATCATGTTGTTCACACAATGCCTCTGGACGTACTCACGATTTCTCTCAAGGAGGGCTGTCAGTCAATAAATGGAAAAAACAAAATAACTTTTTATTTGAAAAGAATTAAAAGCAAAATTTTGTTTTAAATTTAGTTGAAAAAAGTATCTGATTATGTAACTCAAGATACTTGTATGCGTTACCCCCCCCAACACTGCTTGCGGCTAAATGAGAATGAAACGTCATTTGAAGTGGAAATTTTTTCTTTTAATAAAATGATGCACGGACATCAGGAATTCACACGCCTTGAATTGAAATGGAGCCTGGGGATTTTCTTGGATGTTGATGCGAACGGAGCACTTAGGTGACAGGTGCTCTAACCAGCTCCATTATTACGCTTGACACACTTTCGGAAGGTCCATCTTTTTCACAAATATGGTGACTTTCATCTTTTCTCATGCAGGTGTAACGGGCACAGCACAGAGGAATCCATCTGCAGCTGCCTCTGTGTTATTACCCTGATGACATTTAGAGTGCACACTGACAGGGCTGGACAATTGTCCATTTGTTCCCAGAGGTCTCCAGTAAAAATTTGTGGTTAACAGTGGTATATTTAGACTTCACGGGAGCTTCTTTAGTGGTTTCTCAACTCTTTCTAATATGTTTGAGAATTCTGAAGAGTGAAAATGGATGTTGGATGCTCCTTTCTGACATCTTCAATCTTGTAATTAATATGTTTAATAAATCTTAATCACTAAAAAAAAAATCAATCAAAAGTAATACATTTTTCAGAACAGGTATAAAATATTGTCATGCATTTCAAATGATAGTTCACCCAAAAAGGAACATGTTATTATTTACTTTGTTAATGCATTTGACTCTATTATTAAAAAGATAAAGTTGTTATTGTAATATCATGCTATCAAACAACTGCATTTTTTTTTATATGGATGGTACATGAGCCAAGCTGTTTGCTAAATGAATGCCAAGGATAAACCTTTAGGTGCAATAATGACTAACCCATTGGCATAATGACTTTCTATAATGCCAGAAACACAAAATTCCCAGCTTTTCTGAAACTTGAGCTCTAATCCAGTGCAGAGACTGATCTTCAGATTACAAACATTTATACTAAGCATTCTGCAGGCTAATTAGTCATGTGATGTCTTATTTGGTTGAGCCTCCCGAAATTGCCTTCCTTCAGAAAAAAACAACAAAAAACAAGCAGAACAAAGGGACATTATACTATAATCAATGCTAAAAACTCATTCATTCTGAGGAGGGCTCTGAAAGAATTTTCTTTCTGCAAATCTTGCATCATTTCCATTGGCACAGGATGGTGTGAATGCACTGCATTTAAGAAGATAAGAGTACCAATTGTGTCCCACAGCACCAATGTAATCGATGTAATTTAGCAAAATCGATGTACACTGTAAAAAATTTGGAGTATAATTTACTTGAAAAAACCTTGCTAACAAATCTCACTCAGAAAAGGCTAGTAAAATTTACAAACATTTTACTAGCAGCCTTAATTAGAAATGTTTAAGTTAAATTTACTTGGGTTTTCCAAATAAGTTTTATTGACTCTTTGTCTGTAAATTTTACTTAAGTAAAGCTTATAAATGTATTGAGTTTTTTTTTTTAAAATTTACATGAGAGTCCTAGTTATATTTTTTTTATTTATCTTGAGTAACCTTTACTTTAAATATTACGTAAACATTACTTACCATTAGTAATACAAATTTTATTTTCAATAATAATAATAAAAAAACAAGACTTTTTTTCTGTTTTACAGTTTTATTTTAATTAAATTCTCGAAAAACAAGTGCACAAAAAAGAAATGGACACATCAAGATTATCTGCTATTGGCCAAAAAATACGACCAAAATTGTTCAGCATCTTTAAACCATCACAGATGTTTTAATGTCTTTGTGTAGGTCATAACAGACCAAACATTTTATGCAAGATGCTTAACTGATCTCACATACAGCATTGAAATAAAACTCTGCTTCTGTTTTCTATGCAAAGAGCTAACTTTTGGAGAAAACTTTAAAGCATCCAGCCCAAGAAAGATTTTTTGAAAGACTTCAAATGTGTTTCTCAGCTTTGGTGGATAGCTTAAGTTCAGGGCGTAAATGAAGCCCATGAGCAGAAGGCACGCATTTGTGAGATTCTTACATCCCAACAGCACCTCAGTTCCCTCAATGACGACGATGACATCAGCGATGTTGGCCTGCAGTGTTGCCCAGTACAATGATCTTCATAACATTATTGGTGATGTTATCTTTAATCATGTCTCTGCTTACATCCTGTCAAAAACACAAATAAGAGCAAAATGATTACAATAATGTACACCAAGTTGCATGTTCTCTTTAATTTTATGTGATAAGTGCCCCATACAGATTTGGTCTCACCATCATTAAATCTGTCATTACATGAAAAGGAAAGGGAGGGGGGGGGATCAAGACAGACAAAGTACAGAGGAACTGTCTGCAAGACACCTAAACTACCTACGAAGCTACAGTACTGTAACAAGGTTAAGGCACTTGTGTAAAAAATCTAAAGTGGCATAGCCTTTAAAATGCTTTCAAAACTGAACAAGTTTGGTGTGTTTGTCGCTGTCGTGCTAGCGTTGTTGGGAAAGATGTAAGACCTGGCTCTGTGGTGGCTCTAGCCTGTGGAAAGGCAAACCAGTTCATCGAAAGCTTGTCAGTCGTTCCCTCTCCAAACCGGCAAAAGCACTAGCTCTGAACTAATACCCGGTTCATTCTGTTGAAAAGGGGGTATTAAAATGACCACTGAAGCACCAAGATTTGGTGCTATATAGGACTTAAAGTGCTTCTCCTGTGATTACATGCTAAATAACCATGTTCATGCTATGTAGAACCTTTTGAGTTGACAAACTACAGCACAAAGATATAAAAGAAAAAAAAAATTATGGGCATGAAAATAGTAATGTGCCTTAGACTTTTGCAGGACTGTACATCTATAAAATCAAAACAATTTTAATTTATGCATTAATGTACCTGGTAGACTTCAATGAGTTCTTCAGATGACTCTCCAAGGTAGGAAAGAAGGCAGCGAATCACAGCATCTCTCTTATCTTCAATTTGCTTTTAAAAACAAAAGTAAGAGCAAACATGAACAGTGTACACTTCCATCTACATACAACTGCATATCTATAAAATCAGCAAGCAGCAGGATATCAGATGTGCAATATATAAATTTACCTGGCAGAGTGAATCTAGTAAACTTCGAATTTTTATGCCAGCATCCCCACCCTTCATTCACCCTTCATTACAGTGGAGGTTAAAGGGATAGTTCACTTTGAAATTAATTTTTGATGTTTTATCTTACTTCAAGGGCATCCAAGGTGTAGGTGTCTTTGTTTCCACAGTATTTTCAATTTTGATATTTATGTCATATAATGGAGGATTTAAAGTCACCACGTCAAAGAGCATGCACAGAGAAGTCAAAATTAAACATGATTTAATTACTCGTAAATGTAAGTACACACTGATGGCCTAAGACACGAAACGAGCGGTTTGTGTGAGAAAATGAACAGTATTTCTATAATTTTTTTACCTCTTGTAACCACAGCCACGTCCAAGTGATCTGAAGGCGCGGGCGCTTTGTGGCTGTGGTTACAAGAGGTAAAAACTATATAAATACTGTTCGTTATCTCACACAAACCGCTCGTTTCGTGTCCAATGTGTACTTACATTTACGAGTCATTAAATCATGTTTAATTTGGACTTCTCTTTGCTGCTCTTTGAGGTGGACCCCCTATACCTCTATTATATGACTGACAGACAACACCGGTTTGACCGAAAAATGGCAAAATTGAAAATACTGTGTAAACAAAGACACCTACATCTTGGATGCCCTTGAGGTAAGCTAAAACATATCAAAAATTAATTTCAAAGTGAACTATCCCTTTAAGATTTAATTATGTATTTTAACATATGTTTCAATTTTAAAATATGAAACATATGAATATGTAGTGCTGCTAGACCTGTGTTTACTGTATCTTTTGAAGTGATATACTGTATATATATATATATATATATATATATATACACACACACACACACAAACCATGTATATGTGTGTGGCTATAGCCAAAAAATCTATTGAAATCTGTGTCATACTGCAAGGTTAATCAGTGTTGTAGGGTGTAAGATTTATTGCCAACTTACCTTGCATGGAGCTTGGATAGTGAGTGCAATCTGTGAAAACATTAGAAATGTTAATGTCAGAAATATATGTTTTACCAATTTTGAATAAATATACTGATCTTATCGATTTGAAATATGAACAGTTATTTGTTTTGGAACAACTGCATTCAAGTAACGTTAGCCTAAGCATCAACATTAAATGTTCAAGACAGCATTGTTAATTGTAACGTTATAGGTTCAATATAATCTCTTCTTTAACTTGATTATCATCATATGCTTATCTATTTTATCGATAAAACAAAGTAGTCTATTGATGTGAATTAATGGGGGATTAACAGTTCTCCGTCACGCTGGGCACGGGTGAGTTATCATTCCAGGCTCGTAACGTTAACCGCGACTTCCAAGGCTGTAGGCCTAAATTACATCGTGTCCAATTTTAATTTAAACTTTCATTTATAATTCTGATAACACGCAAGGTCACGATTATTTATTCACACAGATGAATAAACACACACCCTTGGACGCTATTTGTCTCGACGCGGGGGCAAAGTTCATTTTAAAATTCACTGTAGCCTACATCAAACGTCTCCGTATATTAACGTGTTTATTAACAACCTATATGTAAAATACAAGACAATTGTTTTCGACACAGAGATGGCGTTTGCTAATAACGGATGTTTAAGTTATGCAAAAACTCAACTCTGTCAACTATGTTAACAGTTAACTTAACGCTTTACTAACCACCAGCTGCAGATAGGTTCTGCAAATGTAACTAAATCGACCAAATAAACAAATATTTCATAACTTACCGTGTAAAAATCACATCAGTCTTCAAGAAAAGTTCCCGTTGCTTTCTTCTTCGCGCCACTTCTGAATCTGATTCTGTACCAAGAAATCAATGCGCATGCGCTTGGATTGCCTGGCTTCTTGGAGTAAGTTTTACTTGCGTTCGTCATTTTTTTGCATTAGTTCATTAGATGACAAAACACTAGTAAATATTACTTGGGCAGTTCCAGTTGAATTTATTTATGTATTTAAGCACAATAAATTAAAAAGAAGCCTCAAGTACCATATTGAATTAAACGTGACATTTTTAAGTAAAAAGAATAAATATGATTTGTTTGTAAAATTTACTTAAATCATGCTACCTTTATTTACAAGGTCAAAAAATCATTTTTTACAGTGTAAACAAAATTTAGTAAAAATCCTCCTTAGAAATCTACCATGAGACATCAAACTGATTGTGAAAACATTACATTGTTTGTATTGATTGAAGCATGAATGAACATGATCAATGGCTTCTAGATGGGATAATCATGTTTCTGCAATGTGTAAGAATTCACAGTCATCTTCTAAACACATTTTCTTGGAAACATCTTGAGCATGGCGAATCATTTGATTAGCGCTATTATCTACATTTTCTAAGTTTTTTGCTTTTAGTGAAAAACAAGCTGTTTGCACATGGCATCATACACACAACGGAGCACTTGGTGACAGTTCTTCAATTGAGTAGTGATGTAAAAATCTAAAGAATAGTGGAGGCATCTCTAAATAGTTGCTTAATTATTTGAGTTAACTATTTGAAATTGTAGTTTTGTAACAGCTACCAATATTACTGTATATTATAGAAATGTGCAGATTAGAGAATAGAAATGATGAAGAGTTGAGGTCATTAATTTTATAAACTCATTCTCAAAAGTGAATGTAAAACTGCACTTTCATTGCAGAGAAGTCAACAGGTTACGAATGAGAAAACTACAATCACACAAAATATAACTTTGAACAACACCAAAAATACTATAAAGAGAAAAAAACTCTTAATTCTTAATAACAAATATTTAACCCCTCCCTTAAGTACCCCTGCTTTGACCAAGTATGAATTATTTAAGCAAAGGCTTGTGGATGGATATTTCTCACAGTAAATTGTGCACATTAATATTTTGAGTTAACACGAAAATAAATATTTATTCGAGGAACAGATTTCAAAATGTGACCTTGTTAATTAATGTTTAAATGGACAATATTTTTAAAAAAAAATTATTAGGCTACTTTCAACATCAGGGTTCGGTGTACAGATTGTGAAGGGAAAAACTTACTGCAACATGACTAATTATTTAGGCTACAACACCCGTGTCTGTCAGTGAATGCTCAATAATGAACAGCTTTTGTTTAGGCTACAGTTGCAAAAAATCTCACCTGATCTGATCACACAGATCAGAACATACTGTAACATCTGCTCAAATGCGATTTATCACGGAAAATATGGCAGGCTGTAATAATATTTGTTAAATTTTCGCTTTCCAAATATAATTTGCGCACCAACTGTAACTGAGAATGGATATTAATTCGCACGTACAATGCAAAAGGTCATTAATATGGTGGATAGTGCAGTTTATCACATCAATTAAATTAGATGTGAATGTTTACTTTATTAAAATACATTTAGAGATCAGTGCAATCCCCACACATTTGCTGACGAACATGTTCAATCTCGTGTTTGTACTTACCCAAAAGGGAGCCGATGAGGATGAAAACTTGAATGGTGGTGGTGAAATCTTTGTAGGCTCTTTCCTGCACGTATAGGATCTCCTCCAGTCGGGTCACCTCTTTATCCTGAGCATCACCCCACAGACCCACCGGAGACGACGCGTTTGGGAAACCCAGGTTCGAGACGTTTAAACTTGTGTTTCCGTTTTCTGACAGAGGAAACCAGCTCTCCGCGTTTTTCGCCTCCATCATCATTCATATCCGAGGCGCCCTATAATTCTTCGGCTATCCGCGCGCACGTTATTGGTGAATAGAGGTTGAGCGTTATGATGTCGTATCCATCATGATTAACACGCGAGTTTTCTACGGTTTCTCCAAATTATCGAAAACGTGAAATATTCTGAAAAAACACTGAACGGTGATCTTTCCCGAGTATAATATATCGAGGAAAGGATTGCATATTTGGTTACATTTGCAATAGCTAGTTGTCTAAGCTACCTTTTGAGAATATTTAAAGGCATATTTCACATATAAAACGGCATGATTTCGTTTTTACAGCACAGATCAGAATAACAACACAGTGATGGAGCGACGGTAGCTGACGGCAACATTCAGGCGCTTGTCTCACGCCACATCACTCAGCTTAATTCATTTCACTAGCCAATAGACGAACATTACGGGTTAAATGCAATATTTCTCGAGCGCTGGGAATTAAAATATGTGAACGTCTACAAATAATGATGTCTAATCAGTGTATGATAAGCCTTAGACAGTACGATAGAGAAATAACATAGCCTACCCGTATGAGATCGATATGAATGATAAGCCAAATCCAAGTGTAAAAAAAAAAGATTTTGGTAAACGCATATCACGTTAATATTCGTGACAGTGTGTGATCTGACTACTGGGTTTTTAGCGAACAGGCTTCATCATTGAGAGTGACAATAGCGCTTTATTTCTTCAAATGAAAGGTGGGCGCTTACAATAAAACGTCACCGTATCCTTCCGTTACGGCGTCTTCCATGCGCGTGAGGATGTGGGATACTGATGACAACCAGCACGCGAACAAAGTATTGTATGTTTCGATATTAAAAGAATATTTGGAACAGAGATTTGACGAGTTTTCCTTATTGTTAATAATAAATAATTAATACAGTGAGCAAAAAAATCCACAAAATTATTCTTTCCAGTGTCTACTGAGTGTGCAAACTTTGAAAACAGCAGCTATAGGCTTTGGTTTGTTTGTTTCTATAATAGGAAGGTCAGTATTCCTATTGCTTATGGTCAGGGGAAATTTTAGACAAACCATGAGGAATCTCTAAAGCCTGCATGAAATAAGACATGGCTATAGTTATCACACAAGGATGTTGTCACAAGAGTTAGGCTAGGCTATATACCCAAGTAACTAAGTTTTCGAGTAAACATTCTAGTCTTGTCTTTTTTTTTTCTAGTATTTTTGGATTGTTTCAAACACATAATATATATATTATATATATGTAGGCTGGTTTAGTAAGCCTTTTCTTCGCCCTATAGCTTAATTTTTAAGACCCGCATTTTCTCCTCCTAAATCTATGTCAATCTGAATCAAATCTTATTTAAGATTTATTTTATTTCCTTTTATTTTATTTAAGACTTTTTATTTTATTTGATTGTGATTCATGGATAATATACTGCAATCTGCTATATTATTCTCAGCACTAGCACCATCTGCTGCTCAGACAAAGGGTCTTTATCATTGTCATATATTCTAACATTGTTCAGTGACTATTTTAAGACTAGTAAATCATATATATATATATATATATATATATATAAAGTTCATAAATGCAGCAAAAGCCCTTTGTAACTCTCACAAAGTGCAGGCCAGAAAACAGCTAGCAACCGACTATTCATTGCCATAATGATGATGTCCTTTGTTGTAGAGCTTATACTGCAATCAACATCAGTAATTATTGATATGCTGGAAAACCTTCATTAAAGGTTTTTAACATACTTTTTAGAAACCATATGATGTTTCTGAAAAACATCAAAGTTAGAGTAATTCATGAAGCAATTCACGAGAATGCCATGCACTGCACAATATTACTCTCAGAAAAAAAGGTATAAAAGCCATCACTGGGGCTGTACTTTTTCAAAAGGTAAAACTCTTGTCCATTTTAGGTGCTAATATGGACATTTAGGTGCTATTATTTATATTTTAGGTGCTAATATGTACCATTAAGGTACCAATATGCACCGTTTAGCTACTTGAAAAGGTACAGCCCCAGTGACAGCTTTTGTACCTTTTTTTCTGAGAGAGTAACAGCTCCTCTATAAATATAAAAAGAAACCCTTTCCAGTTAATCAACATGTAAAAACTCTTCAGAGCTTCCACTTAAGTAGTGTGGGTTAAATAACAAGGCCTGCTAGAGTGTGTCCTTGTCATAGTGCTCTCTAAAAGATTTGCAATAAGTACCACTGGAGATTTGCACAGAGATCTCACCATTTGCATGTTTAAAAAAATAAATAAATCTGAAAGTAACCAATCCTCAGCATTCATCCAGTGAAATTGGCTTTGATGTATTGACGTATGTAGGATCATTGCAGTTATACTGCAATACACTTGAAAGGGATAGTTGTTCACCTAAAAAGAAATAAATTATGTCATAATTATCTCACCATCATGTTGTTCTAACCCTGTCTGTCTGACTCACACACATACACACACACTCAAAATACATATTGTAAACCCCTTTTACTTGTGAGGATGAAAAAAGCTGAAAGTTTCTTCAAAATCATCTTGAGGGTGAAAAGTATTTTAATTTATGATTGAACCATCTTTTAAATATTGTGTTGCAAAACAATGTTTAGTATTGTTGTGGCACAGAAAGATTATTTTGAATTATTGCTTCCTAATAATCCTTTGTGGATACAGCTCATTCCATCGACCAACACTTTAGGATCCGAATCAAAATAATGTAAATCAGACACAGATATGAGGTCACCTCCTAGAATCAATATTAGAAATTAATCAAAAGTTATAAAAATTAGACTATAAAAAACATATTTAATAATTGTACTTCATTGCAAGCTCTTGTATGTGCAAGGTGCATACAATAAATCACTTGTAACCAATGCCCATGGTTGCATATCTCATCACAGTGTCTGTACCCTGAATATTTATCTATACATTAACATTCACTATAAAAAAAGCAATACTGAAGAGGAAGAATACCTGCTTTTTGGTTCTTTGAAATGAAGGCACCAGGGGCTGTACTATAAATTGGACCTAGATGCTAACAGAGAGAATACAAAAAAAAAAGAAAAAAGAATGCAGATCAACAGCACCAGTAAAGTGATTATTAGTTACAATATGGTTTAAAATGACTTGAAATAATTAAGTTCTAATTAAAAAATGTGGCATAGCAGTGAAAGTTCATTACTGTTTTTTGAAAACAAGAAAATAATATTTTTGTTCAGCAACCATATTTTTGTTCATGGTTTAAATAGTGACTGTAACACATTTAATTGTTACAAAAAACATTTTTAGCAGCATAATTGTTTTTATTCAACGTTGATGATATTACATTATAATATGTATGAATGATATAAACATCAATAGATTGCATATAATATCAATAGCATATCATCAACCATTATTATCACTAGAATAAATTTTTTTTTGTTTTTTAATACTTGATATCTAGATTAGAAATGCAAGTCAACATTATAACTGGATGTTATGACTACTATTATGTACTGTAAATGCCCTTTTTCTTACAGCAAAGTGTTACAGCTAAGTGTTTTTTGAAAAAAATTCACAATCCTCTGCCATGCGTCACACTGTGCTTCTGAATGAGCCTTGGGTTCCCCACCAAAGAAAATCACATGGTTAGCTGCAGCATGAAAATTTGCGAGACAAAAGGGCATATAAGGCACCTCAATAAAGTGACCCGCTTTTTCATACTTCACCAGCTCGTAGTTATTTTTCCCATGTGCTTTGAGTCTGTCGCATGCAAGTTTTGCATAATAGACACTTTGCCAATTCCTGTCAGCTTCTGACACTATAAACATGAATTGACCAGAGGCACGCTCAACGGGAATAACGCTAGGAAGGCCTTCTTTGGACATCGGGTCATTCATGCAATCCCCAATATCCAAAAGGCCCAATGGTGTCATTTTTGATCTCTTTACGTCAAACATGAGGGGTGGAACACAGATGTCTTTGTAGTAGATCGGTATCACAGTATTGGCATTGCATCCATTGACACAAACAGTGGCCGATATACCAGGTAGGAATGTTGCCATTGACAAAGCGAGATCTCCACTCTTTGATATGGACACTAGACCAATTTTTTGATCTTTGACCTTTGAAAAAAAAAAGTGCTGGAATTTAATTTGTGATTCTTATAAACCCATCTTTGTAATTAGCTATTTTTTTTTTATTTAGAGATAAGAACAAGAATGTGCATGAACGGTTTTACACTAACCTCTGGCTGTTGTCGCAAGAAATCTATACCTTCTTCAAAATACTCGAGGTGAAATTTGTCAGCTTTTTTGGGTAAATCTTGGTATCCTTGGAAAGCTAAGGCTAAAACAGCAAATCCTCTTTTTGCCAGCAGAGCAGCCCTCAACTCAAATGGAGCTCCTCTAAACACATTGGTATCCAAAATACCAGGAAATGATCCTTTACCTGAAAAGTTAGAAAATCAGAATTAAAAACTTGATTTGACAGGCTTGATTAAAATAATAATGGCCAGCATGAATTTGTGATTGACAATTGAAGACCTTTTCAATACACTGCACTCCTCCATTTTCACCACAAGGCGCTGCTACAAAACAGAATATGGGCAAAAACTTTCGCAACATTTAAATATGTTTTAAATACAAGTCATACTGCGGCCTCCTGGTTGAGAACCAGGAGTGCCTTACAAACTAGTCTTTAAGACAGAAGTTATTACGGCTTAAAATAACTGACCAGGTGGCATAAAAAGAGTTCCTCTGATCCTGCCTTCAGTTACAGGAATTCTCCGGATACCATCGGCAATGCAGTGTCTCTCGTTTGTTACTTTAGCGATGACTTTATCGTCACTGACACACTCAAGGTCAACGAGTTGAGTGCGCGTCACGTCTGTTAATGCAAATTTGCAGCTTACGACGTCTGCTTTTAGTGCCCAGAATAAGCCCATTGGTTCAACCCCGGTAAAGCTGCCACCAAGAGAAGAGTCGCGGTTCAGGTCAACTTGACCACTGTTGTCTGCTTGGTAGGTGGCTGAAGCCTTGAAAACAAGTCCCTTTTCATCGGTGATTTTAGAGCGCAGGACCACGCGTTGTTGGGGATTTAAGCCACTCACGGTCACGTGCACTGGGTCTTCAAAAGAGCACTTATTACTGGGCAAAAGCCTAATACTGACCCCCGAGCTGTAATGCATTTTTGCCAGAGTATTTCTTGCGAAATGGGTAACAGCAAATTTCAACATATTATGTCGTTTTTTGTTGTTTTTTTGTTTCTTCTTCTTCTGGTGTTTAGAATTGTGACGTTCGCGAACGAACCGATTCTGAACGGCTCACAAAATGAAGTTTTATGTAACAAGGTTCGGGAGGTGCATGTTCAGGTAATCATCCAATTAGCGCATGGAAAGCCAGCCAGAGAACGTCTAATTGGCTATATGCACGCATAAATTCCGCATTTGACGCAAGGATGCTCGTCCATTTCCGGTTGTGGAGATTAAAGCGGAGGAGAACCGAGGAAAACGGGATTATGGCAGAGTCTTCAAAATTTACTGTCCTCCCGACTTTGAAACGAAACGTACATACGTTTATATAGTTATGTTTATTTAATATAATTTTAAAAAGAAGCATAAACACAACGAGGGGTGTCTGTTTTATCTGTTTTTGTGACTAACGTTTCATTAGTATAACCATGGAGTATAAAATTCAATATAAATTCTCGGTATTGCATTGGACTCTATGATCGGCGGAAGTTATCGAGCATCCTTAATCCTTCACCGGAAATAACGCCGTGCATAGAGCCCATAGGGCGTCTGTTTTTTTAT